AAACGTGCCGTCGTCTTCAACTCAACCGTAATTCTAGCCAGTCTTCAATCACACCGGATTTCAGGGTGAGCTAATGCTTCTAGCTTGGACTGGGTCTTCCTCTTCATGTTTTGATGCCTTGAAGTTCCGGCATGGACTAGCTTTTACTTGTTTTAGATTTTTAGAATACTCTTAGTTTAGTAATTTGATCATAGATGTTCTTGTGGTGATGACTTCCAGATTTTGGGGATAATAATAGTTATTGATTTTATTAATGAGTTTAAGTCTTCCGCATTACTTTCTGTTGATATTATATTGAAATGTTAAGGTTTAGATTGGTTGGTTCGCTCACATAGGAGGGTAAGTGTGGGTGCCAGTCGCGACTCGATTTGGGTCGTGACAACTTTTTTCGATAGGGTCAAAATTTTAATATCAAAATTATCGTGTAAATTTGTGTAGAGCATAAATCCAACAAATGGATGGTTCAACTTTTCAAGCACATAGTACAAATTTGTAAGTATGATTTCTTGTACTAGGGTTGTTCCTTATTGGTTGATTATTATGTTAAAAATAGTTATCTCATATTAGTTGTCCACCTTATAAAATTAAGAAAGAATTAATTATTTTTTTCTAGGGATAATACTCAATTACTCCCCTAGCCTATACTCAAAATCCCTGCGACACACCTTATTTTTGATGAGGTCCTATTACCCCCTTTAACTTTTTTTAAGTAATTAATTACCACTTTCGTGCCTACGTGGCAATAATAATCTGAAAGGTCGATGTGTTTGTTCAACACGTGCCAGGACCCAGTTTTTCAGCTTTCGAAAAAGTAACTTTTACACTTCCCAAGTTTGAAAAGCTGGAGTTTTATGTTTTCCAAATTAATTTTATCAAAAAAAAATTAAGTAACAAGGAAAGAAAGAGGGAAAGTGCTGCATGTGTGGATCGATTTCAAAGGTTAGAAATTTAATTTCCAACTGAAATTTTGTTTTTCGATGTTGAATTTTGATAGTTAATTTTCGATGTTGGATTTTGATAGTTAATAATGGATGGAGCTTCTTCAAAAATGAAGAACCATAAAAATGGGGTTATTATTTCAAAAGAGGAAGAAAAACTGCTTTTGAGAGAAACAATAAAATTTATTTTTGATTTTTTTTTCAAATTGCTTTGACACGTGGCTAACTTTTATTGGTCATTGTTAGCCAAAATCTGCACTCAATCTGCACTCACACGCCCTACATGGGTGACATCACGATTATTGCCACGTAGGCACGAAAGTGGTAATTAATTACTTAAAAAAAAGTTGGAGAGAGTAATAGGACCTCATCAAAGATAAGGTGTGTCGCATGGATTTTAGGTATAGGCTAGGAGGGTAATTGGGTATTATCCCTTTTTTCTATAATATCCTTATAATTAATTGTTTTTAAAAGTATTCATATTTGTTCGTAAAAATTTAAAGATATTCCTAAGGAGTAAATTACTAATAAAATTAGGACTGAGCATAAACATCGGAAAACCGAGACACCGTACCGAATCAAATTTTTTTGGTATTTCGATTTCGGTTTTTCGGTTTTTGATATTTGGTATATGTTTTTGTATTTTTCGGTATTTCGATTCAATTTTCGGTATGTAATTTTGTATTATTCGGTATTTCGATTTACCTAAAATATATTATATTATAATAATATTTATATTATATTAATTATTAATGTTAAATAATAAATATTATAATTTAAAATAAAAAATTAAAAAGTAAAAGACACTTTTTGATGTAACTATTTTTAGCCCATTAAGCTGAAAAATCAAACAAAAAAATTGTAAATTTTAAAAGCCCAACTAAGCAGGCCCATTAAAAAACCGAAATAACAAAACCGAACCTAAATAATAAAAATCGAACCGAACCAAATTATTTCGATTTGACGTTCGGTACACATTATACAAGAACCGAAAACCGAAAAAACCGGAAAAAAATTGAAACCGAACTGAATTACCGAATGCTCACCCCTAAATTATAAAATTACCTTTTTATGTTTGATTTTTTGAGAACGATGTAAAATAAAAATTAAGTAATTAATATGAAATAGAGATAGTATACGTTTGTACGTAATTCAATATTGTTATTGCATTAAGATGCTTCTTTGGAAATTTTTATGTTTGTACGTACCGGCTGTAAGTTAGAGACTAAAAGATAAGGATTTAAAAAATATATTGCTAATTAATCAGAATATTTAATTGGGAAAACGACTATATTGTTAATTAATTAATCTAATATACAAGTGTTGCTTTCTCATTAATGATGAAAACAAATTCAATCTTATTTTTATATATATATTAATCTTTTGGAAATAATTGATGGTACGTTGAGTTAAATGAAGTATTTTCTTGAAATTAACTTCACATTTAACTCTTATCTCTTAATTAGTCAAAACAAACTCATTTAATTTCATGCCAAACTTTTGGTCCTCACGTTTATAGTCTTGATCCTTAATTAAGAGAAAAATTCAATTGGTACTCCTTAAGATCATGTTACCAGAATCGAATATTATTTATTAACGATAAAATAAAATATTTCATCAGAAATATTTAAGAATAATTTTAGATTATTTATCACCCGCTAAAAGATTAGTTATTAAATAATTACATTTTTCAAAATTCTCTGTGTCAAGAGTGACCCCGTTGGACGATCTAATCACCTCAAGTTCAAGCTAATCTATTGGATTCTTAATTTTCTTTTTTAATAAGGAAATGTCATTAGAAATTGGATTTTTTTGCAACAATTGATATAGGGAAATGCACAATAGTTATATGTTTGATAAGTACAAGTTATATGTTGTTTTTTCTTGGCCTTTAGTGCATCGAGTGCTTATACGTTTTATTATAAGATTATTTAAAATTAAATTAAAATTGATAATATGAATTGAAAAAAAATTATTAATTTATTGGTAATGATGTTATTGGTTTATCAGTTGCACTAATGGTTTTGATTTTTTTTTTATTATCGAGTTATTGATTCTTAACGTTTTGAAATTTTTTTTAACGAGTTAATATTCGGTAGTAAATTAAATCATTATATTTGTACCGTTTTGTATATAAAATCCTTGACTTAGAGTTCAGTTTCATACTTTTATTTGAGGTTGTCTCAAACTTTTGTTTATTCTGCAACGTGACAATGTTTACTTATGAGCAAAATGCATTCTGACAACTCATGTGCATTGTTCATTTCGTTTGTCAGTGATTTATTATGATTTTTTGTGTGTCAAATCTTAATGATCAAATCAATAACAATCGATAACTGATAAATTAATAACTAATAAATTAACATCTTAACAACTTATCATGTTTACAAATTGATAATTAATAAATCGTACTAACTATCTTTAAAATCGAATCAAATCGATCGATAATATAGCGGATATTTCAACATTAATTTTATGTCCATTTTCATACGGCCGGCATGCAACAACCTTTTATTTGTAAATTGTCTGCATGAATTGACCCTTTCAAACATAACAACTAATTTGTTTAATTCATACCCAAAATTCCCAAGTAGTGGTTACCCATTAATGTAATTATTATTGAACAAAAATAAAAACAATAAGATGTAATTTATTTAAGTATATCTTTTTTATGAAAAAATAATAATGATGATGTACGTATGGACATTGACTTATCTAAGTATTCACGTATTCATGAGTTAGATTTGAATTGATTATTAATTAAAATCAAACCTAAATCAATTAAATTAATTTTTAAATTAATTAAAAAATCATATTAATAATAATGCATGTTTATCGATTTGGTTATTATCGGTTTAAATTTGATTTAGTTTGCTTATTCTAGTTATTAATTATATACGAAAATCAAAGAAACAATTTATTCAAAAGAAAGAAAAAAGAAAGTTTTTTTTTTGAAATCCCGAGAGATGTAAACTGTACTAGGCAAACCCTATGTGACAGGCTCGATTCAGGGTCATCCGTGCGAATAATAATCCTCCAAACCAATTGAGTCATCCCGAAGAACTTAAAAAAACATTTCATTCATAAGGAAATGAATTGTATTTGTATCATTTTCGATCTTGAAATTCTTATATGAGAATTCCAATTATACTTAACTTTCTACTTATATTGTTAGTTAATTCAATGTACTAAATAACATAAACTTACCAAATAATGCATAAGCTACCAATATAATTGCACAAATAAAAGGTGCATCATACCACTATTTTTCATTAGAGTGTTGCAATTATTTTAGAACAAAAAGTTGGTTCACAAAAAAAACCAATATATGTCAATTCGGTTCAGTTACTTTTTTGATTTATTTGAATAAAATCAAATTAAAATGGATCTATTTAATTGTTTGATTCAATTTTTCTATTTGAATTGGATTTTACCCAATGGACACCAGTGACTTCAAAGACAAAGTTAAAATTTTTATTAAGGAATTCAAAATTTATAGAAATAGACACATGAAGAAGTTGAAGGAGATTCAACATCTATTATATATATCTATATATATAATTATTTTAACTATGCCTAGATAATATAATTTTCGCCAAAGAAATTCAGATGAATTCTCTTCTTACAAGGTGACTCCTCCCCTAGTTGACTTGGTTATAACTACACCTACAACATTTAATTCGAAACTTATAGAGAGATGAAAAAAAGTAAACGAAAAATGTGTATGTACAATATATCACGCATGAAATTAACTTAAAATCTTAAATCCGCGCTCTAACAAATTTGGCAAAAGAATATACCATTGGAGATATCGGAAATTCTCAACCTTGAAAAGCCAACGAATAAAACGGTTTTTTCTATTATATTAGAAACCTCAAAGTCCCCGCCAAGAAAAACCAAAGGGTGAAAAGAAACAGAGAGAGTCAATCATTTTCTCCATCAATCTTCCTCTCTTCTTTTTTCTTTTTTTTTTCCTTTGAATCCCAAATCAAAGGGAAAAAAATTATCAATACCCCTTTCCCCTGTTTATTTTCTTCTTATTTTTTTCAAATATAATATAATATGGGTTGTGGGGAATCAAAGCACGCAGTTGCAACGGCGAATGCCACCATTCCTAAGAACAAGAGATCACTGAGTTCTAAATCTGAATCCAGAAAGGGTGAAAATATCGTAAAAACCGAAAATGGGGAAAAAATGGAGGAGGAGAAGGAGTTGATTGCACCGAAAATGGTGGCTGTGGAAAAAGAGAAAGAAGAGGAAGTTGTAGAGCCCAAGAATGAAACGATCCCTGTTGCTGTCGTAGAGACGAAGAAGAATGAAAATGATGAAGCAACAACCCCTGTTTCTGTGGTAGAGAAGGAGAATACAACTCCGGTTGCTGTTGTAGAGAAGAAGAACGAAAATGAGGAAATGGCCCCTGTTTCTGTTGTAGAGAAGAAAAATGCAATCGATGAAACAATTCCGGTTCCTGCCGTAGAGAAGAAGAATGAAAATGAGGAAACAGCATCCCCTGTTTCTGTTGTTGCTGTTGTGGAGAAGAAAGAATCTGTTGAAGAAATTAAAGCAGAAGAGAAAACTGGTTTGTTCTTCTTCTCTTTTTTGTGTTTTTACATACTTGTTGTTTTACATTACGAGAGTCTATCAAAAACAACGTGTTTACACAAGATAGGGCTATCTATCAAAATCTTGAAGATTTTTTATTTTCAAATTTACAACAAGGGAAAGACGAAGGGATTTTATATTTCGATTAGATATTTTGAACTTTTTATCTAACTTAGTCCTTTTTTTTTCCTTATTGATGTTAATATGCATTTTCTTTAACCCTATAGAGATCATCAAGCCAATTGAAGAAGTAAAAGAGAAAGCGGAAGAGAAGGAAGAAGTTATCGCTGTTTCTGAGGCCACAGATGCTGCTAAACCAGAAACTGTCAAGGATGATGATAAACCAGAGACAGAGGAAAAGCCAAAAGAGGTATGGACTTGATATGTAAAATGTAAAATCCTTTTGTTTCTTTTAGGGTCGTTCGATGAGGAGCAAGTTATTTTGGGATAAATTATCTCGAGATAAGTTATTCCAATATATATATATATATGAGATAGTTTATTCCATCATTAAGAAATAAATGATGGGATAAATAATCTCACGTCCATTATGTTAGCAGTTTTTGATGGAAACAAGTGTCAATTTTTTTGGTTTGAATTTTGCAGGAAAATGCAACTGAAACATCAGCAACAACAGATTCAAAAACAGATTGAAGTGCAAGCATGGGAATATGGAAGAAGAGTGTTTATTAGTTTAATCCTTGCTTTTTAAAGCTTGTTGTAATTTCCGGCTTAAGTATACATATTTGTTCCATGATCTGTTTTCATATATTATCTCTGTTCTGCTTATATTTTTATATAATATTATCCCATTTCATCTAAATCTGTTGCTCTTTGCAAAATAACTTTAACTTGTTGTCAAAGCTTGTGATTAAAAATAGTTTTGTTAGGTTGGTCTTCTTGACATTATTAAGAATCTCCACCAACCTTTGGTAAAACTATATATTCCCTTCAACATATTTTTGTGTAATACTCCTTTGTTTTAATGACTTTTTTTTTGAGAAAAGGCCTAAAATATTCTCGAAGTATTGTAAATGGTACAAAATTATCCTTCATTCACTCATTGACTAAAAAATGTCCTTTTCATTTACATATTGACTCCAAAATTGTCATCCATCTTTGGGTTCAAAATTGACCACTTATTTAATTGTTTTGATTTAAATATTTTTTAAATACTTGACGCTCAACTATTGGTTATAATTTAATTTATTAATTTAATTTATAAATCAACCCAGTACCCACTCATTACTAACTAAAATCCCACCCAATTAATATACAAATTATAATATCAAAATCGCCCTAAACACTACTAAAACACGACGAAATTATAGATTCCTGGAAATGACATCCAAAATTATTTGAGTCCGAATCGAAGCCCCAATTAAATTTAGGTTGTTTCAAGCTTGAATTCGAAATTTATGATCAAAGGTAAAGAAGCAGTACATCCCGAATTAATTTATGCACTTTGTTGAAATATAATTTTATAAATATTTATGAAAACCTTTAGTATATTATTTTTTATAAAAGTTATCTATGAAGTAACATCACGTAATTAAGACGAAAGAATAATTAAGATAACATGTTCAGACTTTTAAGTTTATCGTTAATTTTTATTTTGATACTTCAATGTATGATAATTTACTTCTATAAATATTATCTCCTCAAAGTTTTAAAAACATGTCATTGGCAGTAGCTTTCCTGTTGTTGCATTAGTAATGGTGCGTTTATTAATTTGGTGGAGTTTAATTAGTAATAGATGGATAGCGGACTGATTTATAAATTATACTAATTAAGCTAAATTATAACAAATAATTGAGTTTTACGTATTTAAAAATGTATTTAAATAGTTTAAATCTAAAACCGTTAAATAAGTGGTCAATTTTGAATCCAAAGGTGGATGACAAAGGTATTTTGGAGTCAATAGGTGGGAGGAAAGAGTATATTGGAGCCAATAGATGGATGGAGGGTAGTTTTGTACCATTTCTAATACTTCAAGGGTATTCTAGGTCATTTTCCCTTTTTTTAAGTTCATTCTAAAAAGAATATCATCTTAGCAATGATTAAAATAATTTATTTTTTGAATTTCTTTTTACTCTAAATGGAATGATTTACCTTCACACAAGTATGTAAAGATTTATTTTTAGACCGCAAACTTCAATATCTTCTTTTTTTCCTTAAACACCTTGTCAAATTAAATGGTGTTTGTACGGTTGGAGTAACATGAAGACATATATGTCATTCTTAGTTTTAGTTCGTCATTTATTTATGAATTTTATCTCTGAAGTATTTATAGCTTTAAAAACATAAATATATTCCTGAACTTGCAACATGAGTTAAAAAGTTGCTTTCAACACTTCTCTCAATTTTATATTAAGAGATGATTCTTGCACCTATTAGTATTTGAGATCATTAGCTATGTCTTAGGGAGATCCAAAATATATCTAAGTTTAATTAGTCAAATATAGAATGTTTGTAAGACTGTCAATAATTTAAGCGCGGAACTAATAATTGCAAGGGTTGACAATGGGACGGGTTTAAGGCCATACGAGGCAAATTTAAGATTGGAGTGATTTTTCTAAAACTAATGCGGGACAACTTGCGGGTATATGTGATTTTATGTAGGTTTAAATTTAACTTATATTTTTTGTAAATTATAAGAGTGATAGATCATTATTTATTAAGATAATTTCATTAAAGCTACTAAAATATTCAAGATAGTAAATGAAAATAGTTCAATAAGAATAAATTCAATTTCTTATATATTTTACCAATTGACCTCTAAAAAATAAAATTTTGAGTTAATATTCTATTAAATTGATACAACTTTATGAAAAAATGATTTTATTTTTAATATCAAACTTAACTAAAAAAAATTATTAAACAATTAAACAAGGGTATATTTATGGTAGCGTGTCTATGCAGACGGGGTAGGACGGATTGAAAATGAAAATTAATGTTATGCGGGACGAGATGGAACAGATTAAAATTTTTACGAGTTAAGCTCAACCTGCCACGCCCCCATCCTGATTGTATCAACAAAGTTACAAAATTATTGTTTCTCGTTCCTTATCCTAGAGAAAAGAAAATAAATCTTAGAAGGAATGGGTGTATCAACAACTGTCAATGATTCAGAATCCATTTTTTGTCATTTTCAAAAGGAACAGATAGCTACGTTTACGAATTTACAGAATATTAATCATATATGATAAAGTCAATACTTTAATCTCTTTTTATTTACATGGATAAGATGTAAAAAACGATAGCAAAAACAAGTTAAATTAGAAGGAACTATATACACAAGCAACAGGACACAACTGGCATACTTTTGACTAGCTATATACATTTACCTTGAGTGGGAAACTCTGCTTCAGCTCTCCCAAATTTTGGAGAGTCAAATGGTAATCCAAATAATCTCTATAATGATTTCCCTTCCTCACTAGACTCCACATTCATTCTCAAAACAGAAGATATATTTCTGGAGAAGATGATATTTCCATCGTTGTCTGTTGTGTGATACGATGCTAGACCATTACCCATCACAATTCTGCACCCCGCTGATACATCACATGATAATTTTACACCAAAATATCTCACATGATCCTTAACACTGTTGCCTTTCACCGACCTACAAAGATGTGATCAAAGTTATAAAGAGGCCAACAGCTCTAGTAACATGCCAGTCGTTTATTACTATGAAGATAATTAGAGAGTGTACGACCTTCAGGTGTCTCCAGTCTCAATATGTTCCTAATCCAAAAATTGGTCTTTCTGGATCCTAAATTACCAGCAAGATTACAGATTATTTTGTTACAACATGGTTCAGCAGTAAATTTACCACTTCTCTTATCAAATACCAGTGTTTTATGGTTTCACTTTCTTGTTTGTTTATCAACAAGGAAAGTGAGAGAGACTCTATTCTTTTCTTTTTTGCGTCATCACAATTATGTACGGCTGTGTTTAACATACCTCATACAGCTTTAGAAAGTTCTTGTTAGAATTTATTTTAATGTTTTGTTTTTTTCAAATTGCTTTCTTATTTGACAAATGGAAGTTGTATAATGTATCAGCCTTTTCGCCATAATGCTTTATAAAATGGATCCATATGTGCCCTCAAACTTGTTATAAATTTGCCATAAGCATTTTCCACTGTTTGCATTTGTAGTTTAACTTAATCTAACTGCATGAAAGCAATTTGAAGAAATCCAGTGCAGCTGAGCACATGAAAGAGAAACTTTACCTGCTGCAAGAAGGATCCTCCCCAGAATTATCGCAGACCTTTTCAACTGTATAAACTAAACTTCCAAAGCCAAGATCATAAAGCCAGACCTGCAATTTCAAGATCTCACAGTCAACATAATGCAACCACGAATCAAGACAGCAAGAGGCAGAGTCACTTGAATGTGTCTAAACATAGTTTGAATGCTCACAATGAAAGAGACTTATTACCATGAGTCTTTATCATATATTAATGTGTAACTTCTTAGTGCAGAAATTATAAAAAAATACAATTATAGTTCGAATGCTCACAATGAGAAAGACTTATTACCACGAGTCTATCATATATTCAAATGTAACTTCTTAGTGCAGAAATTACAAAAAAAAAATACAATTATTGACAACCTTCTTTTTTTTTATAAATTCATAAAACACCGTTTCAACATATCTTCGGTATTTAATATACTGTACAGATATAATCTCAGAGATGCAGAAAGTTGGTTAATACAGAAAAAATCACAATTTAACATTACCGTGTAAATTTGAAATAGCTAAACATTTTTAAATTCTTGAGATTTGAATTTACGAATTAGCCTGCAGCACTGAACTCATATTCTATGTATAGAGATCATCATTCCTTACAACTAGACTTGTGCAGTTCAAAATCAAGCACTACAGGGTTTTGAGTTGAGGAACTTGCCTCTCTAGGGAAATGGCGATAAGTTTTGTGAGGGAAGTACTGATAGTAAGGGGGCAAATGAGGCACAATATCATGACGATTTGTAACACGAATTGTATTGGGGACCCGTTCTCTGTAGTAGGACACAAATGCAGCATTACCAATTCGTGGTTGTCCAAATGTCATAACCGAAACATTCTGGCATCCAAGATGCACCTGGAATAAGAAGATAGATCCATTAAGTGCGAGTTGGAGAATATTTCTTGCATCATATGGCAAATGGTCCACAAGGATATGCAAGATCAGTCATATTTAAGATGTGACCTATTTTTCTAAATGGCAAGTCAAAACATGTAAACAATGATTTTTTGTAAAAAGAGTGGCGAGTCTTTAGTGCATACGGTGAGATCCAGGCCACAGAAAGCAGCCATAGCCCCTCCCATTGAGTGTCCAGTCACCATAATTGGAATATCTCCATAGAACTCTTTCGCACTTTTAACAGCAGTTAGCACTCCTGGACGCAATGACGTGTTATGATAAGCAGAATAAAATCCATGATGCACCTGGAAAGAAGCAGAGATGACTAATTTGCAGAAAAGAATGTTAAAAAACAAAATAGAAGCAGAAGAGGCTTGGTGTCAACACACACCATTGCATCTTCCATTCCTGGATAAGATATATCAAGCTGCTTCCAGTATAGATCTTCAATCCAATTCTGTAGGCTGTAACCAAAAAGTTAAAACTTGAACTTCATATCAAATATATGTTGAATCGTAGAGCCAAAGACCATATAGCTTATTTCCTATACAGTAATTTAGATAATGCATATTACATCACAACCGTGAGCAGATTGATCAGAGGTTATTAGATTTTAAAGTTGGTCACCATGAACATCAACAAACAAAAGACAATCTTAACGTTTCACAGCTTAGACCTGAAGACAAGAAGTAACAGAATTCTGATTGAAGCAGCTTCAGCCACTCCTGGTTCACAAGTTATGAATCAACAGTCATAATATATTATGGTCAAGAGATTCAAATTCCTCAACAAAATTTTGAAACCAAAATCACGAGAAGTTATAGTACTCACTCCGTCCCATATTAGTTGTCCATGTTACTGAAAAAAGTTATCCCAAATTACTTGTCAATTTACAAAACCAAGATTGAATTAATTAAATTTCTCATTTGTCGTTACAATTAATTCTTGTTGAAAGTGTAAACAAGTTTGTAAAATTCCAAAAAAGGTTTCTTTAGGTTTCGTCGTAAACCAAATTTGTTATTTCAAATTACGTAAATCAATAGTTCACCTCGCACTCAAAGATGGGGCATTTCCCATTTTTATGGGAATTTCTGTACCAGAAAGAATGGTAACTCCAATTATAGCCACTTTGGGATGTAAAATATATCTCCTTTCATCATCCTCATAGTGTATGTGACTGGGGTAACTAGTAAAATTACCCTTTCTTATTTACAATTTTTAAGGGGCGTGTAAAGGGGAAAGTGGACAACTAATATAGACAGAGGGAGTAACTATAAGTAGGCAAATACACAAGTACCTTGGTGCTTAGAAAATTCCATAATGACTGAATCTTATTTTATAAGGGAAGATGTTTTGAAGCAAAGGGTGGGTAATTCACTTGTGATGAAGCCGGAAGTGGAAGCCCAATGCCAACATTGACATTTTCTTATTCTATTAGTAGTAAATGTCTTCAATAGAAAAATCCAGAAGAAACCTAGAAAATTGGGTGTTGTTTGGTTCATGCTTGCTTTTATGCAAACGGTTCACCCAATATTTGGCTTTTCCTCAACATTTACATATGATTTGGCTTGCTTAAACGAGCTTCAACAACTAAGTTATCCCTTTTAAACATCTTGCTAAAATGAGCTTCAACAGCTAAATTATCCTATCTTTTAGATAAAGCTTCTTCTGCTTTCTTTTCCGTTTTTTCTTCAAGAAACAACTCTCTAAGGTGCAAAAGTGAGACATGACCTCAGGCATGACAAAAGTTGCAGATCTCGTAGGCGTTCCCACTCCCCCCTAAATGACTGCTACAGAAAATTAGGCTTTCCCTTGCCTCAGAAGATTTTTCAAGCACATTACACATTGATTAGAACTATTCAGGTTGAAAGAAGAGAAATTAAGAAAAAATGTTTACATGTCAAAACGATCAATTAAAACTCTTCAGCTTGTCAAATAAAAGCCAAAATCCGGTGGAGGCTAATTCTATCAATAGCATCTCTGCCTCTTTTGTTGCAACAAATTCAGCTGGAGAACATTAGTTAGTTATACACCCCCGTTGGTGTAAGCATCCACAACATCGTAAAAGGTGGTTTAGATCCAGTTCTCGTTTTCAACTGGAATACCAATAGCCAACTTGGACCCAGACAGCTGGCCAGCAAAGTATGTATAAGTATAACTTTCTCTAATACTTTTACAACTTAACATGATTTTATCACCTCAGTCATGAAGTTCTTACTGACTTTCATTAGGTTCACAGGATTTAAAGAGTAGCATAACATTATTCGTTTCGAGAGAATGGTTTTCCCTCGAAGACCTAACGTAAATGACTATTTAACAAACTACAAATTTTGAAACCCCATAAATTAAATTTAATGTTGCACAATTATGATAATGAAGTAAGGGGCAGTGGACCAATGGTATCCAAACCTGCTTTCCTGAGTGCCTCTGAATGCAATAACAATGGCATTAAGATCCTGCGCCACACCTACATATGCCTGCAATGGGCAGTGGGTATTAGATCAGATAGTAGCGGCTTAGTGCGTCTAACTAAGAGCAAGCTTACTTCTGCATAGTGTAATACACACCTGAAGGCATCGTTGCACATCAACAATGAGCTCTAGAATTTGAAATCCCTGCTCAAGGAAAAACCACAATATATCATTCAAAACAACTTAATAATGAAGGCTTGAACAAACCAATCATATATGAAAACTATGTGTGATATTTATTTTTTGATCCTACGAGGTAACTATTATGATATTTTTATGAAGCTTTTCTTAACATGAAGCGGTGTTATAAGATGATGATCCATATAGAATACCTTGGTTAAACCATTACATCTTGAGCAAGTCCAGGCAAATAATTCTGTCAAATCGGACACATAGACCTGCAAATGAAAGGGAACTTTTGGGTAACAGTCTAGTTGATATCAAATATAAGTGAACAATGTAAAGTAATTACTGCATTACAGGAGCAGACTGAAGTGGCAAATGTCGACCATTAACTGCAAATAAGAAGTGCAGAAAAACAAAGGACAGGAGTTCCAGAAATATAGAAGTTCAAACTACATAAAAAGCATTTATAATCTTAATAAAATACTTAATACAATTGTATTTCAAACTCAAGTGATGAAGCCTCCAAGGTTCTAAATTCAGAACATTTATAACCATTGTGGCCCCGAAAATACAAAAGATCCAGATAGAATTTGGAAAAATATATTAAAAAGGTATGAAGTTCTCAGAACTTACTGCTGAAGCATATTCCACCAATATGGTGGCAAGGGTGTGGTTGTAGATAGCTGCATGATGCTTGTTCTTGGCCTTCACTTTGAATTCTGCAGACAGAATAATTGTAAGCCATCTAGAAATATTGTTAACGGTGGTCAACAAGAACAGTTTATGGCGACAATCACAAAGATCAGTGTGTAAACAGAAAAATAACTTCATAACATATATTAGTAAAATAACTTGGTGAAAAAAAGTCTTGATCAGCTTGCACTAAGCAGAAATTAAGAGTTCAAACGTCTAAACATACAGCAGACCTATCAGTGTTTGCATAATCCACTTAACAGCTCCACCATGCCTACCTCAATCCTCCATCTCAAAAGTGTCCTAGTTTGAGTTTAACATAACACTTAAACTTTAGCATGTTCAATATGAAATGAATCATACACCAAATTTTTTTTGTTTTCTTAGTATACTTTAGAAAAATAGTTGTATAAATAAAGTTAACAGTAGTCCAGTTATAACTTTCCAGATACAAGAATTTCAATGTAAAAATATTCTGAAACATGCTAAATTTTTTGGATTGCAAAACCATCCAATAAAGCATACTATACATAGCATAGAGACAATTTTATCGTCTAGTTGAAATATGTTTGAAGTAAAGAAACTAGCCACATTAATGTCATAGCTAATCATCCAAGTAAACGCGCTACTTTGGAAACTAAAATTCTAGTCTAAGTAGTAATTAATAATTCTATCAAATCATGATTACCTCTACCAGTTGAAACCGCAATTAAGCATAGAAAAATAACCACCTTTAACCAATTTTTTCCGTCCATAATCTGTATAACAATGTCCAAAACAAAAAGCTCAGCTAAAAAAATAACCTAAAAAAACACATAGAAATCAGGAGATAAAATTCAAACAACCGATCACCTGGAAACTTGAAGATGCTTAACTAGGAGCTCCGTTATCCTATTGAATTTTTTGTTGTTCTTTGTGAGCACCGGCGACGGCGAGCAATGTCAACCGGCGATGAATGCAGAATTTATGGAAAAGGATAAAACGTAGAATGGAGAAGAGTCAAAGATTTTTGGCATAAAAGAAGGTGAAATTGGGTTTGACTATCGATTAATACTTTCGTGACGGTACTGGACATCTACAGGTCACCGTGAGAGAACGCCGCCGTGCGGTGGCGTACATAGACCGATTGTGACTCCGATACGGAATTTGCGTCCAAATATTTCGTTTTATATTTTAAAATAATATAAATAAAAAATTACTTATAAATCAATTCATCCCATTATGTAATCCCTCCTTTTAATTTTAAAAAAATAAATTGTGTCGAGTTAAAATCGAAAAATAAGTTTTTATTTTATATTTTTTATTCAAAATTTATATTGAATTTCGATTAGCTATAAAATAGGTATCGACTCATTTAGAAATAACGCTTTCAATAAATTTTTCTTTATATTTAAAATCTAATTTGAAATATCTAAATAAGAATGGAGTATTATTATGCGTCACAATCCATGTTGATAAAATGAGAAAATAATTTGGTAGGGCTAAAAGTAATTTGTTGTTAAACGGAACTCAATTATGATGTAGTGTTCCCCTAAGTAGGTTTTTTTTTCTTCTTAAATTTTTTTGGCATATTAGAATATCCATTTTCAAATTCGTCACTGTTAATTTACACATCACTTATTGGATTATGCCAAATTTCCAAATATTTGATCCTCTTTTAGCTGCATTTGGTGTACTTTATGTGTCCGCTACACGTCAGTGAAATGGATTATGCCAAATTTTTAAATACTTGATCGTCTTTTAGTTAGAGGTATTAATGGTACGGTTATGTTGGTTGTTTTTTAAAAATTATATCATTATAATTTTTGAGTAATTTTATAATATGTAATTAAACTTAGATTTTTTAAAATTATTTCAATTATATGGTTTATTTTTGGTATCATTCTGGTTAAATTCTGGGGACGGGGGGTTACTTTTAATATATCAGCTCAAAGTATATTACTATTAAAATATTTATTTCACAAATATATTCTTGATAAACACTTTAATTCTTCACCAAAAAAACAAAAATGTGAATATTTGTTGTTCTATTGTTTGATCTTTAAGTGTTTGCATAGAGGGGGGTTTACTTTTAATATATCAGCTCAAAGTATACTACTATTAAAATATTTATTTCTCAAATATATTCTTGATGAACACTTTAATTCTTCATCAAAAAGTCAAAAATGTGAATATTTGTTGACCTATTGTTTGATCTCAAGTGTTTGCATAGATTTTGAGATATTGTTTGATAGAGTATCTACTATAGTGTCTTTTAATTTCAAAACTAATTAACTAAAGATTAATTTAAATGCGAACAGTCAAAATCGTCTAGTCACGAGAGGCCTAGGACTTGGATTATATTTATATTTAAAAAATGTCATAAAATATATTTATATATTAAATTAAATTAACATAATGTTAATATATAACATATATTTACACACATGAAAAGTTATTCGGTTGAAATTTTTTCGGTTTTTTCATAAATTAAAAAGATCATCCCTGTTGTTGAGGACGATTATACACTTACTAAAAGTCCAAGGTTTTATTGAAAAAATAACATAAATCGATTCGATTAAGTTCAGTCAGTCAACTTTTCATATTCTTTTTACATCCCTATTTTTAGCTACCATTTGGTATTTAGTTGTTTGGTAGAGGGAAATGTTTTTCATAAATTAATTTATAGTTTATCTTTTCGGTTGGTGAGTAAAAAAACATATATGTTTTTTAATGTTTGATTGGTTAATGAAAAATATTTTTTAGAAAATATCTTTTATTTTCTACTAGAGAATTGAAAATATTTTTAAGAAAATAGTTTCTGATTTGAAAATCAATTCGAAGACCTCACCCCAACATCTGAACTACGACATGATATTGGTGAACAATTCAAAATTTAGGATCTGACCCCGACTTTCGACCCGAAAATCAATCGTGACACACGACCCCAACACTAACACTTGATACAGATATCCAACTTCAATGTAACAGCCTGTATTATGTATATGCTAGTTCTATTCATGTGATACTTAACATAGTCTTATAGTATAGGTAAGGGATCATGTTTCTTATATGATTAGTGTTGGTTTAAACTAGCTCGAAAGATGATGTAACGTCTTATATGTTTCAGCATGCGTATGCAAGTTAACTCCGACGGAAGTATTTGAACTAGAGATAGTAAGGTGGTAATTGAGCTTAAAGTTGAAAGTTAAGAGCTAAGTTGGAGAAAAAGAACTTACTATTTAGAAAATGGAATAAAATAATTGAGTTGCTTGCTTGACTTAATTAAGCTAGTAGGTGACAGGTAGGTGCATCACCTACTTTGACTTATTGACCATTCCAAAGGATCAAGTAGGTGCATCACCTACTAAGACTCTTTTTTTTTACTATGTAATTGGGTCAAGTACTCTACCACCTACCTGCATTAATCTAGCCCAAGTTGAGTAAAAGAATAAGGGGAAAACGGGCAACCAATGCCTAATAATCTTAAGTCCAAAAGAAAGGCCCAAGTGAAAAGTCCAAATATGTGGATCACCTACTTGCATTAATTATGGCCCTGATTGACAAGAATAAATGATTAATTGACAGTAAGGCCCAACAAGTGTTGAAGTACCCAAAGGCGCAAGTCAAAAGGCCAAGTAGGTGGGTCACCTACTTGAAAATATATGACCCAAAATTGGCAAGAAAGTCGACCATTACACATTCCCTTTTAAAGAAATAAAGATCAGATCTTTTGCTCCATTTTAAACTTGCAAAATTTTCAGATTTCTTAAGTTTCTCTCTTGGTCTCTCTTGGCTTCAACAAGCAATCTTAAAACACCTTAGGTTTCTTGAGTATTGTCCCCCTTTTCAAGTAAAAATTTGAGTGAGAGTTTCAGTTCTTGAAGTAGAAGTTTAGAGGACAAATTTCTAGAAACTAAAGTAAGACTACTGCCCATTTTTGCCTCTTTTTAAGGTTTAGGGCGGAGAATTTTGTATATATTTATCAAGAACTCATGGATTGTGATAAATCTTTGAGTCAATATTCTCCTATTATGATGAAAGATTTTGAGATTGATGGTGGTTGCCTTATGTATATTGTTATTGGGGCAACTTGGGTATCTTAGCAACGGATGTACGAAGTTGTATTAATGTATATAGGAAGGGTGTGGTGGTTCACCGTTTATGTAAGGGTTGTATGAGCCTACTTTTCGTCAAATGTTTAGCTACTGTTTTCAAGGGCCTTAATGTGAGAGCTGCTAATTTAGCTTAATCATGACTTATGTTGTAGATTAGCACCCAAAGAGGAAGGTAGAATCGTGATAGTTGTATTGGTCAAAAAATAAGGCATGTAAGGCTATTTGATTCAATATTCTTCGGCATGAAATCTGATACTTGCGATTAATACTAATAAATGAATTTCCTAAGTTCTATTCCAAGTAAAGGAAACATAGTGGCAGCGTACGATCTCCAAATAGCTAACAATATTTTCCCCTATCTTTAGTGCATAGAATTACTTCATTATATGTTCACTCCTTTATACTTGTGTAATTATCCTCCCATGTGATGGTATGGAAATGATATTTGCAAAAGCAAGTTTGGTGGATCCTCCTCTTAGTTAGTTAAAGTCAATTATGTCATTTATGCTCACAAGTAATACATTGATGTTACATAGTTTTTTATGTCATTGTTACCGCCTTGAAATATTATTTTCATGTCTTCTACTAGTGGTCCGTATTTCCAAATCTCAAAAATGATTATGACTATCAAAAAACGACAATCTCAGAGATTAAAGAATCTAAGTAAAACAATTGGTATATAAGGATGGCAACTCAGGGGTAAAACCCTAGCATGGACCTATCTCAATTGGTACAGAAGAGTGGCAGCTCAGGGGCGAAAGTCTAGCATAGGCCAACCCCAATTTGTGTATTTATAAGGACCGCATCTCAGGGGCTAAAATGCCTAACATGGGTCGTCCTCTTCTACCATTGATGAGTTGGTCATTCGTATCACGTGTCTATTAAAGATCATAACAAACTGAAATGTAAAGACACGAATGTAACATACAAGAGTTAACAAAGGTGGTCTTCTAATCTGATTTTCGCACATATATGTTGCTATTTGGTTCCATTCAAACTCTTATTCTATATATGTTATGGCCTTACATATTCAGTACATTTTTTCGTACTGACGTCCCTTACGGGAGATGCTACATTTCATGTTGCAAATACATGTACTCCAGCTAGTAGACCTCCTCAATAGGAACACACGATGCTCAACTACTTTTGGTGAGCTCCAGGTTGATTCAGAGCTTTACTGAGTCCTTGGTAGATTCATTTTGGTAATGTATCATAGTTAGGATAAGGTGGGGTCTGTCCCAACCTATTCTAAGGTTTTTCATCTTTTAGAGGGTATGTAGACTTATGTATATGGTTCAGTTGCGTCTTAAAGAGTTGTGGCCTCAACGATCAAGTTTTATATATAACTTGTGGGTCTACTTATGTTGGTTCATATCACTACATTCTATACGAACTTGTCACTTGATTGTTATAATTCTATGCATAGTAAGCACTGGTTACAAGTTGGTTCTCTCGGGCCTTAAGGGCATCGGGTGCCTGTCCGTCTTTATGGAATTAATGGCGTGAGACCCAATGACTAATCTGAGATCATATTCGTACACTTGGCTCAGGACTTGATCCCAACACTCAAATCGGTACCCAACTTTCGAACCAAGACCTAACTCTGCCTCCATACACAAGACCTGACCTCAATTCCGTATCCAGGACATGACTCGACTCAAAGCCCAATTTAGGACTCGACTTCTTATTCGAATCCAATTTTGACATGCGATCCTGGACCCAAGAACGACATTCGAACTAGGATTCGATTTTAACTCAGGATCCAATATTCAAACTAGGACCCGACTTTAAACTAGAGCTTGACCCTGACTTTTGATTCGAGACCCAACATTCAAACTTGCACCGACCTTGATACATGACACTCGATGCAAGAGTCAACTTCTGGCCAAATATTTGACTCCAAATCAGGACTCAGTCTTGGCTTTCGAAATAGGATTCAACCACCCCCGACTTGATATCTGACTTTCAAACCAAAATTTGATAGAAAAAATAATTTGAGTGGAAAAAGGAGGTTGGTAAGGACAGAGGGGTAAGGATGATGTTAAAAATGAAAATTTTAAAATAATTAT